GCAGGCCAAAGGTCAAGAAGGTGGCAGTCACAGACTTCTTGGCTAGGGACAGAGTTGAGGGCTTCTCAGGAGTTGGGACAGCCAGTGAGGAAGGCAGGTTTTCTCCAAGGGTCAGCCCAGCCCCAGCTGCATGGATTTGGAGGTGTGGTTTGCCCCTCTTCTAAATTACTCTGCCTCGGCCCCTCCCCTGACAGGGCCCAATCCTCTGCCCACTGGCTTCATCCCCAAGTGGGCAAGTAGACAGCAATGTGAGGTCCCTCCAGGTGAGAAACCTGCTTTGGAGCTGGGCACCGAGAGGAGGGCATTTTTCAAGGATTTTGCTGGCCCTTTTTTTTTTTTTCTATGAAATATAAGGATGTGCAATTTTTTTGGTTTCAATTTAGCATTGGAGAATTTTATAATTTAGTAATTAAAATCTCTGATAGGCTTTAGAAATTGCGGCTAATTGAATTTAATGGGAAGATGATTTTCAATTTTATTTGATTACCGGGACCCCTGGCATCGGTATTTATGGGAAAAAAATGGGAAATGTGCTGTGTGGGCTAAGATGGCATAATTGAATTAGGGATAATCGGATTTCTCCGTCATGAATTTCACTATAATTTTCCTATAATTTTCCATTAGATATCTAGTTTACAAATATTCACAAAGAAATGAAGCTCTTTCGGAATGGAGATTGCTGGCTAACAGGATTACGGGGCCAAGCGTGCGGCTTTGCCAGCCCCTACACCGCCATAATGCGATCCCTGTATCTGCCTTACACTTAGCTTGAGCCTGGCCTCAGTCCCTCGCTCCGCCACCCGTCTCGCTGCTCCTCTCTGCCCTTTGCTTCCTTCGTCCCTGTTTACCCCCTGCCCTGACACCCGCCCTTCCATGGCCCACCACCTCTCGTGCCCTGGCAGACTACCCTGTCCCTGTGCCAGGGCATCTGGGCTCTGCCCTCCGTGTCCCCACCGTGCTTCCTGTCCATACTTCGCTGGCTCGCTGCTCTCCCTAACGCCCTCCCTCCATCAGCCTGGCGAGTGCACACACACACAAACACACGGACTCCCTCGCAGGTGCGAACATGCTTGCTCACATGCACACACAGCCCTTTGGCCAAGGCTTCTGTGCCCTGGCCCAGTCGCCTCGGAGGGAACCAGTTTATTGGGATCTTGGGGTGGGGTGCAGGAACAAAAGGAGCTTTGTTCAAGTTTATGTGAAAGTTACAAATTCAAAATGAGAGCAGATAAAGCATGAGATACCTGGTGTGTAAACAGGCTGGTGAGTGAGAAGGCCCCAGGCTCGGGAGGGAGAGAGAATGAGTGGGCAAACTGGGGGTGTGAGGGGACTGGGAGCCAGCAACTGCAGTTTGCCCCGGGGAGAGCCCACGGTTTCCCCTGGACTCGTATGAAGGTGCTAGGTGGTGGGACTGCAGGTCTCCACTTTTTCTCTTGGAGGTGAGGTGAGCAAGGAGGAGTTGGTGGCTCTGGGCCCAGGGCCTTGAGACCAGGAGGAATTGTGGTATTGGGCTTTTCGTCCCCCAAGTCCTGGGCACAAATGTCCTCACTGTGACCTGGCCTCGGGGCCTCAGGAGATGTTACTGCATCAGGATTCTCAAGTCCGAAATGGGCCATAGATACCAAAGTTCTGGGCCTCTTGCCTTCCTATGAGCATACGCCCAAAGAGACAGAGACAGAAACCTGGGACCCCTCCATTATGCGGTCTCTGACTCACACCCAAGACCTCAGTGCCTCAACCTTCTCAGACCTTCTCAAATCAAAACACGAGATGGCCTCATTTTCTGTGCCTCTCTGGTCTGTTCACCGAAGGCCTCTCACCCTTGGGCAGGGCCTCTTAAACCTACAGCAGCTGATCGTGGCCATAATCTTGGCCGAGCGGAGGCTCTCCGGGCAGCCCACACCTCCCTCCACCACTGGTTGCACTTAGTGGGTCTCTCTGGCTGGCCCTGCCTGCTCTGCCTGCCTTCCGCTCTGTTAGGTCTGCCCTTTCAGCCATTCCTCTCCAGTCTTTGTCCACCAGAGGCCTCAAAGGCATCGTGCAGCCAATCCAGTTGGCCTTGCCTCAGTAACCGGAAGGTGTGTCCTTCCATGCTCCGATCGCCCTCAGCAGAAGCCCAGAAGGGCTTCAGAAGTACCCAGCAGGCCTGTGGGTCACATATGCAGAGAGCTCCCCATACATGCAGACACCTTCAAACATACCCAGAAATCACCCTTCTGCCCCTGTGTCTTCTGGCTTCCTTCTGTGTCCCAATTGCCCTGAAAGGGAATCGGACACTCAGGACTGGGGTTTGGGATCGACTCTCTGTTGTTACAACCCAAAGCTGCAGATCTTGCTTTGGGAAGTCATGGGTGGGAGCACCCAGAGTCATGTGTGTACCCCAGAGCAGTTCTGGACGAAGAGATGCCCTGTCTGAGATCCTGCATGGGGAGCAGAAGCTCATGGTCCTCTCTGCCCTGTGCCAGCAGCTGTACCAGCTTCTGGGTAGCATGTGGCTTGGTTTGTTTTAAGAGCTTTGCTCCCTTATTCAGAGTTTTAGGGTCAGAGGACACTCAGTAAAGCTTCTGGGCCTCCACCTACTGTTCCTACAGGTATGAGGCAGGCTTGAAGGTTGGAGGGTTGTGTGGCAACCAGGAATGCCAAGAAGGCATCAGGAAGGGCAGTGAAGTGGGTGAGGGATGCTAACCTCCCTGTGAGACCATTTGAAACTAAGAGCAATCTAAGAGAAGAAAACAAAGGGAAAGTGGGAGAAAGAGTAGATTGTTAACTCTCTGACTTCTTTGCCCCAAGGCCTCCGTGGGCCCTTGGCTTTGCAAATAGAATTGTTGCAAAAATAGGCCAGCACCATTTTGCTGAATGGGGCCCAAAGACCAGAGAAAGCCGCGGGGGTTCTCCTATTGAAGGCAGCGTGGCCTCCCCTGAAACAGGAGAGGGATGGAAAGCAACAGGGTGGATGCAGAAGGGACAGAGGAAGAGCTAGTGACATGTGCCCTCCAAGTACTTCACATTGCTGCTTGCTTGGCTGCCTCCTTCCTTGAGCACCCCCTCCCCATGCCCAGCGAGTAACTTCGGTCACTAATAAGGAATCTCAACTTATCCCGCCACAGCAGGGACGTTTGGGGGCCATGGCAGATAGATCCAGCAAAGTGCCTTCTCTGAGAGGAAATGAGGGACAAGGAGGGGACAGAGGTGGCAGGATGCTGGCTTCTTGGTTGAGGGGTGCCTGTGCCCCATCTGCCAGGGCCCTTCACGGGGCACATCGGCAGAGGTGAGAGGGTGGGAAGGAAAACCCAAGTGATGGCACTCCGAGAAGAGAGAAAAACTTCTGCCCTGGCGGGATGAAGGAGGAAGGAGGTGCTGACCTCCCTCGAGTCCTGTCTTCGGGGCTGGGGGGCTAAACTTGGGGCAGGAGGAGGAGAAAGGCCTTAGAGCAGGGCTGTGCAGCAGCCCGGGTCGGCCCGGGTGGGCAGGGCACCAAGGCCCATTTTAAACGCAAAGCTGAACCCGAAGTGGTGGAAACCGGGGGCAGGAGCGGGAGGGGTCCCACGCGCTCCCCGACCCTTCAGCCCTTGCGATGTGCAGAGCTGCACGAGGCCGACACCCCCACCCCCACCGCCCCGGAGTTTTTTCTTCTTCGCACTAAAAGGCAACCCCACCACCATGAGGTTCGGGGACACGGGCGAAACGAAACCCTGTACCCGGGCACTCCGAGTCCGCGGGGCGCGCGAAGGGAAGCGCGAGAGCGCGCGGCTCGGCAGCGCGACCCCGCGGCGCTCACACCTGCGCGCCCCCCCCCCCCGCCCCGCCCCGCCCGCGCGGCAAAGTTTGCGCGGCCGCGAGCCGCAGCCCTGGACGGCCCGGCGCCCGGGGGCGAGTCCGCGCGCCGCCGTCGAGTCGCGCCCGCGAGGCCCGAGCGCAGAGGGGAGCGTGCGAGCGCGTGCCCGCCGGCGGCCCACAGGAGTTGGCACCGGGGCGCGAGCATCGGCCGCCGAGCCCCCGCCTCCAGCCCCTTCTCGCAGAGTCCCCGCCCCCCTCCTCCCGAAGTCTGAGGTTTGGGGAATCACTGAGCCCATAAGGCCGGCCGCCCGAGCCGGTGCGCTGAGGTGTCGCGCGCGCGCGGGAGCCGGCGCGTGTGGGAGCGGGCGCGCGCGGAGGAGCGGGCGCGTGCGCAGGGCGAGCGCAGGGCGCCGGCGCGCGCCGGGGAGCGGGCGAGCGCGAGCCCATTCACTCCGGCACCCCGGCGGGCGCGCGCGCGGGCGGGCCGAGCTCTGCTCTTTCACCTGCCGGGGCGGCGCGGGCCAAGCCCGAAGGAGGCGGCGCCGCGGCCGCCCTGCCAATCACCTCGGCGCCTGGCAGCGCCCCCGGCCGCTCCCGCCCGCCCGCTCCCTCCTGCCAAACTGTTACCCTGAGTGTTACCGTCAGGAGCAATGACATCAGGGCTTTAAAACAACTTGTTATTCGGGGAGTAATCAGTTGCAATTAGGCATTAATTAAGTATTATGAAAGTTGATTATTTAAGTGAATTCGGCTTTCGACTCTCCGACTATGGTGAGTACCCGAGTGGGGCGGGGGAGGGCCGGGGGCGCGCCGCGGGGCTCCGACCCCAGCGCCGGGCTGGGGGCGCGGGCGGGGCGGGGGCGGCGGGAGCCGGGCCGGCGGGGCGGGCGGGGGCGCCCCTCCGCCTGGCGGGCCGGCCGGGCCCCCAGACCCGGGCCGCGTCTATAAATAGTTTCTCTTTTAGTTTAATAAACTCGGAGCGGAGCGGAGCTGCTCTGCGTGTGCAATGCCGGAGCGTGAGAGCGAGAGGGGAGGGAGGGAAAGTTTCGCTCTCCCTCCCCGGGCCCCCTTCGCATTTCTGCCCCAGTCCCGGGGACTTGTCCGCCCCCCGATGGGGGGCGCGGCGGGCGGAGGGGGCGGAGGGGGTGTGGAGTGGGGAGCACGGCGAGAGACTAAACGGATCTTTTTTTTCTTTCCCCTTCTGTTTTCGGCGATCCTCGAAGAGTTTGGGACCAAAGAGAGGAGAATGGATCTTGGTACAGGTACCGGCGGTGGGAACCAGGGGAGGCTCTTTCACTTTTCTTTCGGTTCTTTTACGGAAGTTATTATTTTTAGCCCAATGAGGTAGCAGCTGGGCAGGGGGCGGGGGCTGGCCAGGCGAGGGTCCGGTGTCGCTGCGCCGCTCGCCCCGGTTTCTGGATTGCGAGGCTTCGGATGATATTATTGTTACTATTTGTTACTTGCTTGGTGACTATGACTAATTTGATGCTTGTCATTGTGAAAGAACGGAGGGGAGAGGGAGCTGGGGGGCACCCGGAGAGAGGATTTAGGGGGTTTTCGTGGGGTTTTTGTTCTCCATGTTTTTTGAATGGCTCCGTGTGTTTTCTGTGTTGTTGTTTTTTTCCCCTGCAAAGATCTCTGTGTGTCTGGCTGTGGGGTGTGTGTTTTATTTTTTTAGTGGGGGGTGGTTTAGTTTTTGAAAGCAGCGTCCTGTTGGGAAAGGTGGTTAGTCTGGTTTCGGGGCGACTGTCTCAAGGTAAAGGAATTTAATTTATTTGGGACAAGGCTGTGTCGGATGATCAAGCTGCTTATTATGGCTAATGAGTATTTTTCACCTGAGAATCCGTGGGATGAGGCGGCTGTTATCAGTTCAAAGTGTTGGGCCCAGGACTCTCCCCCATCCCCCTTTTTAGCCCCCACCCTGGGTAGGGGTAGAACAAACAAACTACTAAATTTGGACCTCTGGGTTTTGCGGACCTAGGTGGCACCTAGGCTAGGGTTCCAGATAGCATGGTGCCAGCCTGGGGCAGAGTGTATCCAGAGATGTTGGGTGTTTTATTGGTTTTAATCTAGTTTTATTCAATATTTCTCTTCATTTCCCATCTGGGGTTCTAACCTAAGTCGGAGCCAGATTTACCATAGGCTTTCCATTAGCTCTCTCTTGAAACCAAATTTTGACCAGGACCCTCAAGAGCCTGGTCTGACAAGAGCAGCTGGCTTCTTCCTAAATGTTTTTAAAACAGGTTGGTAGTTCATTAAGACTGATCTCTGAACCCTTCTCGTTCATTTATAGAAGGATAAGTAGTATTATTGGTGGCTGTTAGAGTTGTTGTTTATAATGGGCCCAAGTTCATAGCATTGTCCCTTGGGACCCATGAACCGACACTTGACCTTCTGAGGTCAAAGGGGATTGGACAGAGAGGACAGGAGGGCAGCACTGGGGGGCCCTGAGGGGTGACATGGTGGTTGGCTTTGGATAGGGGATGTGCGAGGGAGAAGGGGTGGTTCACAGTGCCAAGACTATGTCCAGCCAGGTGTGATGTTGGTGTTTCTGATGTGGAGGTCCTGAGGACCTTTGTGCCCAGGAAGGGTGTGACACCCCCTGCTGGGCAAAGTGGTGAAGGTGTCTAAGGCCTCTGCTGCCACCCTGCCCCTCCCTGCCTCTCCCTGCCCTTCACTCCCACAGAGAAGCAGCCCGCCCCCACCTCTAATCAGGTGTCTCATCACCTCCCTCTCAGGCCCCAACCCCCTTCTACGGAAATGGGGCCCCCACCCATTTCTATAAGGAGCAGACCTTACAGATGGGCTGGGTGATGCGCCACTCCCTACCTGGAGCAGGCCGAGCCTCTGCTTGTGGGCGGGCACTTGGAACCCAGGCATTACTCAGCTGGAAGGCGGGGCCCTCTTCGTTCTCCTCCTTCTCACCTGGGTACCAGCTGGACCTGGTGTCCATCCTCCTGCCCTACCCCAACCAGCCTTCCCATTCTACTGTGGGGGCACGATGGCAGAGCCCTTCTGTAGGGTGTCCCTGACTAGAGAGAGCTTGTGGGTGGCAGGACCTCTTGTAGCATCTCTTCTGGGCCTTAGGGAGACTCACTTCAACCAGCATTCCAGGGACAGGCTTGGGAAACTTTCCCCAGAAGCTAGAAGGGCCCCTGAGGTCAGCAGGTCCCTCTTGTAGCTGGAGTGAGGCACTCCCAGCAGGACCCAGGCCTGGACTCTGCCACTCAGTGAGGGGAGGTCCAGGGTGTCAAAGTTCTGACTGTTTCTTGGAGGAGTCATCTAGTGATACCATCTCAGCCTTTTCTTTGAACTTGGAAGTTTCACTTAATCTCAGAACTTCAGAAGAAAAACACATTTTCCCCTCTTCACAAAAAAAGGGAAGCAGGTGGGAACTCTGAGATCCCCTGTGAGCCATCTCCGGCTGACTCCATGGTCCTCTTCCCTCCATCTCTGGACTGTACTCCTGGACACAGCCAAGCCCGGGGCCCCATTTGTGGCCAGGGATCATGGCTGGTGCAGTGAGGGGCTCTGTTTTGTGGGACTTTGGGCAGCTGCTACCCAGGGTCTCTCTAGCAATAGTACGAGGCTGGAAACACAGGCCCCAAACGACTGTTGACACCAGGGACCCAGTAAGCACTGGATCATGGATCAACATCACCTCCAGCTTTAGCGAGGTCTAGGTCCTGATGCTCCCCAGCTATAAGTAATCCAGTCGTGGGAGAACCAAGGCTTCTCAAGAGGAGACAAGCAGGATCTCAAGACCCTCAGGGGCCATGTGGATCCCTTTCCCCCACCACAGTTCAGCCAAGGGCTGGATCAATCTGGACGTCTTGAGCAATAAAAAATGCCGATGTCGTCCTAATTCACCAGGCCCCGAGATGACAGCAAATTTACATTTTTTAATTAAACTAGCAGCCAGTTTTTATGAGAGGGGGTTGGGTTATGCAAATCAAATGGTTGTGTACGGAAGATTAGGAGAGTTTGGGAATAAATTCCACAAATGCTAATAAAAAAAAAAGGGAAAGAGAAAGAGAGGGAGGGAGAGAGGAGAGAGAGGAAGAGAGGAGGACATAGTTCCATTAGGCCCTTTTAGAGTGATTTCCCTGGAGGAGGGAGTCAGGAGGGGGAGGGGAGGCAAGAGGAAGCTTCAGACACAGGTAAATCGGTCTGCACTTGGGAAGCTCCCCAAGATTAGGCCCCACTAGGCTGATTCCTAGGCCCTTGACAAAGCTGGAGGCCAAGAGAAAGTGGTTGTTCTACAGTGGCAGAGTTTTGAAAAGGAACTTGCCCTTGATTTTCTGGGAGCTAGCTATAAATTGTCCCACTCTCCCTTGGGGGGACTTGAGAAGAAGGGGCGGGGCTGTTCAGGTTTAGGGCTGTCCATCAGAGGGTCCAAGGTAGGCTCTGGCAGGTAAAGGGCCAAATAGGCAAGTTCAAAGGGATGGCCAGGGACTGCAGGGGGAGCTGGTGAGGGGCTGCAGGCAGGTTGTAGAGGCGAGTCAGGGGGAGGAATCAGTGTGCTCCTGGAGCCAGGCCTGCTGCTTCCCCCCCCCCCCCCCCGGACTAAGCTCTGCTGGGATTCCAGGCTGAGTCCCCCTTGCGCTGCATACAGACCCCCCATCGCCTCCTGGCCCTGGCCACAGCTTGGAGGAGGCCAGGAAGGATGGGGTCAAGGGAGCTGGCTCAGGAGCTTGGTTCTTGGGGTGGAATTTCCTAGTAGCCGCATGCTTCCGGGGCACACAGTCTCAAAGTAGAAGAAAGGCTGCAGACTTCTTCTAGGGAGGGGGGGGAGGTATCGGGCCCCAGGGGGTAAAAATCTTGGTTTTCCCAGCCTGGCCCCTGCTGACCTGAGTGTCAGCCCACCTCCGGACTCTCAGGACTTCTGTGAGCCCCCTGTTCAAAGCCAGCACCTTGCCAGGAGGCTTCTAAACCTTGCTGGCCATGGCTGCCCCTCAGAACCAGTGTGTCTTGGGGTTTGGGACGGCTCGTGTGCTGTTTTGGAGAAGAGATTCTGCGCTGGGTTTGGGGCAGAGCAGGTTGCCCTCGATTTTCCTTCCTCAAGCTTTTACTTGGCCAGGTACACCCACTCGACCAGTCTAAGCTGGGGCCAATCCCTGCAGTCAAGTTGGGCACCGGTTTTGCCAGTCTGCTGTAGGGGTAGGTGCTTTAGTACCATCTTGGCAAGAAGGAACAGTCAGAGCCAAGGACAGAATGGGCTGTCTTGGAAGTGGCGAGTTTCCTGGTGCCATTCAAACAGAGGCTGGCTGTGTGTTCGGAGGGCTTTGAGCATCAGATGACCTTTAAGGTCTGCGGGACTCTGACTCCCAACTTAATTTTACCAGAGGGATTCAATGGGGGCAATCTGGTGGGAGGGGCTGAGTGGACGAGGTGAGAAGCACATCATTTGGACCTTCTCTTTGGAAGAAAGCATTTGAGATGGGCAGCTCTGGTCTTGGAAGTGGCCGCTTGAACCAGCCCTGGCTCAGCTGTCAGAGCAAACCTCAAGGTGAAAGGCCTGGCGTAGCCCATTCCCTCCAACGGGACGCAGGGCAGCGAGGGCAGGTCTGAAAGGATCCCTGCGGGACCCCGCCCCAGGCCCTCTCCCTGTGTGGACCAGCCAGGGAAAGCCATCCACTCACCTCTCCAAGAAGGGCGCTGGGGCCAGTGGTAGTCAGATCTCTGCAGGCCTCGCTGTCCCTCCCATGTCCCCCCATCCCCCATGGCCAGGGAATCTGGCTGAGTTGCAGCTTGGGTTTTTATGATGGAAAAATGAAATAAATGGAGGCACCTTTGGAGGGCTGAGTCATGGCAGCAGCATCTCCTCCTCAAAGCTGCTGCCCTGGCTCAAGTCCCTGGGCAGGGGATTGGGTGGAGCCCCAGAGGCTCTGGGCCCTGACTCCTCCTCTTCCTAGACCCTGCCAGGTTAGTGATGCGCTTGCCCCCTGTCAGCCTCCCCTGGCTGGCCCACCATTCTTAGAAGGGTCAGGCTATTTCTCCTGCCCCTCCACCCCACCCCCCTGCCCCAAGGCTTCTTCTTTAACTGTCCTCCCTGTGCTGGTTTTTAAACCTTAATGACCCAGGCTGCAGCTCCTCTCCCTCCTCCCCCCTCCTTCCCTCCTCCTCCTCCTCTTCCCCTTCATCCCCCTCTTCTTCCTCCCCACCCTCCTCTTCTTCCCAACTCTCCCCTTCATCCCCCTCCTCCTCCTTCCACCCTCCTCTTCCTCCCAACCCTCCCCTCGTCCTTCTCCTCCTCCCCACC